AGGGTCCCTGCAAGGGAAACATTGAACAAGCAGCAATATCTAGTCCAAAAAGAAAAACTTGGAAAGATCTAGAGTAGCATAGGTATATCTGAGTGGCAAAATCTTTCAAGTAAATATCACACCCAAGAAAGTCAATAGGATTCCTTTCTATAAGAATCAAATAATCAGGAATATTTTCAAAAATGTCTTGTGTATGCAAAGCGGAAGATGAAGAATCTAACTGACAGTTGTTGGAGTACATCACATCACTTTTACTAACACAAGAGGTGAGTGAAAAAAGAGTGGAAGAAGAAGAAGATTCATGCAGAATATGATTATGCAATGCAATATTATTATTTACATAGCTACTTAAATCAGGAGGCAAGTTACAAGAAAGAATTAGACGAAAAGATTCATTCTTATTTACAATTTTGTCTTTTAAAATTTTTGAATCTTTCACTACTAACTCATTAGAAGCATGCAACTCAATGGGATTTTCAGAAAGATAATTTCCAAGGCTATGGTCAAATTCACATTTCTCCACAGGATTAACATCCAAGCAACTCACATCACTATCATGCTTTATATTGTCAGCACTTTTAGTACTAGAAGGCAATGCACACACTTTACTAAAGTTTTGCTTTTGTGACCCAACAAGTATATCATACTTGTTATCAATGCAATCCATGCATATAGTGTGGGCATTGCAAGAACAAGATAGAGGTTTGTTCAAATCAGAATCAATTGTACCATCTAATCTAGCACTAGAAAGAGAAGCATGTTCTTCACACAAAAAAGTAATGACAGTGCAAGTAACATCATCAACTAAACAACTACTATTAGAAGTGTTCAAGTGAGAATTTTCATTTTTAAACATTTGAGGGGATTCAACTATGATTTCCTCATCCACCTCATCATCACTCACATCATCAATAACTTCAACAGGAATAGTAGTTGTAGCATAAGGATCAATCTCCTCAAGAAGAGGATCAATATTACCTGATGTAGGGCACAAGTCCTTATGAGTTTGTAGATGCTCTTGCTTCATCTCAGCTTCTTGTATGAGTAAATCTGGATACTCTGGTTCATCCTTCCCAGTCTCGCATTCAATTTGAGCTATATCACTCAAGATCTTCTCCAATGCACTCTTACATTCTCCTAACTTTTCCTTTGATTCCTTTGAAATTCCAGATATCCGTGCTTCTTCAAGTAATCCATGATAGTATGAATTTAAGCGGTCATAAGCTTCTCTTAAAAATCGTATCTGGTCCTTCTTAGAAATAGTAAGAAATGGGTCAGGTTCATTGAATTGAGGTTCATGAGATTGGGGGAGAGAATGGTACTTGGATTGGGATGAGGGTTGGTGGTAGTATTCATATGGAAAAGGAGGTGGCTCTTGGTGGTATGTATACGGTGGAGATATATGATTAAAGTATGGTTGGTGAGGTGGGAGTGATGGGTTAGGTGATTGATGTAGAGGATGGTTCATCCAAGAAGAGTCATGGGTATAGAGGTGATTAGGCGTTTGAGACTCTAGCTGAGCTTGGAAAGAGTCTAACTGTTGTAACAACTCTTCAATCTCTTGAGAACATGTTGAATTAAAAGGTGTTTCATTCCACGTACTATTTCCTGCATAAAAGTGAGAATGCAAGGGCAGATCATGATTGCTATTAAACCAAGCCATGAGTCATACAATCAATTCCCAACAAAAACCAACATAAAGAAACTCAACACAATCCTAAAAAACTAGAAAAATCAGAAAAATAACACAAAAACACAAAAACAAAAAAAAATCTGGAAAAATTCCAGAAAAGAAAGAAAATTAGAAAAAGTAGGGAAAACGTTTGAATTTGGCCAAAATTTGCTGGGGCTAATAGCATAGCTATTAGTCTTTCTTAAAATGCCCAAAATCTTTAGAATACCAATTTTCAGAATTTTCTGGGCAAAAAAATTCTTTTAGTTCCAGCAAACTAAATTTTTTTTTTTACAACTCAGATTTTTGCCAAATTTTGGATGTAGATCCAACATTATGATGCAAAGGCATGCAAGTGTCTATATCTATATGCAAAACAAAGAAAAATCAAAATATTTGGTTGTATTTTTGAAAAATTTTGATGCAAATGAAAGAAAAGCCATGAAAAATCAAAAGAAGCAAATGCAAACTACTAAAGAAAATGCAAAAACTAACAAAAAGAAAAACTAAAAATGCTCAACAAATGAACTCCAATCAAGGCTACTTGACACTTAATTACCAGGGAACCAATTTCTTGGCTCCCCGGCAACGGTGCCACTTCAAGTTAACTTGCCCTTAATTTGTCGCTTTGGGATTACTCCAAAAATTAACCGAATTAATGCAATATAGTGCATAATCCAGGTCGTAGACATAATCACATTTTTGTCTAAAAAATATATTAATATGATATTATATAATTATTTAGTATTATTTTAAAATATCAATATAAATCATACATTTATTGTACAATTTCTAATAAATAAATAAAAATAATAAAAGCTGAAAATATACATAAAAATTTACCAACAAATTGTTAAAACATTATGCAATTAATCTAGATGAAAAATAAATTTTTCAAGCAATGAAAAAATACAAGACGTAACCTGTAAACGACTTTTTTATTTTATGTAATAATTTTATTTTTAATTAATATATTAAATAATATTATAAACTGAATATAAATAAAAAACTTATTGAATGTATTATATCTCATTCACTATATAAATACTTTAATTTATTTAAGAAGAATATTATATATATAAAAATATAAGATATAATAATATTCATCACTGTTCACATGGCACGAGATTCAACACAATAATAATAAGGAGGTTGAGGGTTTGAATCTGAGCAAGTGCATTTAGAAGGTGAAAATATTAAGAGCTGACAGCGTGCGACGTGGGGGCAATGATGTGGCGACACATGGGGGGAAGAGGTGATGATGTGGTGCGGCACATGGCAGGGGGCAGGCAGGTGGGTTTTTTATTTTTTTATTTTTTTTATTTTTAACGGTGACTTTTTAACTTTCAGGGGTAATAAAGTCAATTTTTTTTGCAGCTGACGATATCTTTTCCCCATTTGCTGAGCACCACGCAAACACACTAAATCGTCAGAGGCTGACGAGAATTTGAGGTTGGCCTGTTTAACTTTAACTGAATATGTAGAAAACTACATACGTGCTGTTTAACAATAATATATAATAGTCATCAACAACTTAAGCTCACAAAACGCCCATGGCCAAACAAAAGACCGCGGCCCCAAGGGTTATTATTGTCGCAACAGTGTGTCAAATATACACAGATACATATAACCTGATCTTCCCATTCCATAGGATTCTCACATGAATCAAACTGGGGCAAGAAAAAGTTTTGGGGTTGTTTAGTGTCTTGTTTTGAAAACAATTTTTTGTTTTTAAAAACAGAAAAAAAAAAACTTATCTGGTAATTTGTTTTTAGTTGATTGTTTAAAAAAAAAAACAGTAATATGTTTTTAAAAACTAAAAAAACCAAAACAATCTTTACATGTTTTCTTCTTTTTGTTTTTGTGTTTTTTATTTTTTGTCTTGAAAAATTTTGAGAAATCTTCTTCTCTTTTTACCTACTATTCACCACTTATCGTTATCAATGATAACTATCATCCACCAATTATGATTTTCTAAGATTTTTTTTCGAGCGTGATTTTTAAAAATTATTATCTAAACAAATTCTTTTGTTTTTTGTTTTTAAAACTTGTTCCAAGAAATAATTTTATAAAATTGTTTTGATAACAAGAAAACAGAGAAGAAAAACAAATAGGCCCTTAATTTCGAAGTCGTTCCCCATAAGGATGGAGGATCTAGATAGATTATATAGACTAGAGAAAATAATACGGGTCCAGTCGGTCGAAATATACAGTGGAATATTTTCATCGTCTCAGTTACGGCGTTGAAGCTGACCGGGGAATATTCAAGGTTTGATGCGTGTAGTCTCACTGGAAAATTGCAGGAAACTACAAATATATCAAAAGAGGAAAGATAATAATTGGTGGAAATCAAACTATTATTTACTTTTTTAAAAAAATCAATTTTTCTTTATGCAATATAGACAAAATCTAATAAATTTTTTGTTTTTCCTTTAAATACTTGATTAAAAAATCAAATAAATGCTATAGGTATTTTTTAAAATTTTTAGATAGAATATAAAATATAAAATATAATTATAATAATTAATAAAATTAAAAAAATGAATATGTGTTAGCCCATGGGTTGGTGGGTTAACCCTAAGTAGGTTGAAGGGTTGGTGATACAGGTTGAAAATGCTAATTTGTTACCGGGTTGGTTTTTACCCAATAATAACCTGCCATTTTTTTCCTATTTAGCGGGTTGGACCCGTATTACCAGTTCTACACCACGTAATTTCACACAAATAAATTCAAAATGATGAAATCTCCATGAGTCAAGTCAATTTGTTATGCTAGGAGGAGCGGAAAAAGGAAACACACCTAGAAAAGATATTCTTTTATTTAAATAATTTTTATCATTATTTTGTTGTAATATTATTATTTAGACTTGTTCTTGATAATTAGGATCAACCCCATAATTCAAGCGCTTTGCCGTTACTATGTAGAAGAAGCTGATAAGCATTCGACGTTTTTTCTTATTAAAAAAAAATTTAATTATCGAAGCTTCACTAGATAGAAAAGTATATACAAAACTATAAATAAAATTTATTTAGCAGTATATTGAACGATGTTATAAGAATATTTTAAATTAATTTATTTTTTTGGGGTGAAAATACTTTTGCAATTAATATCAATATAGAAGCATTACATTGTAATTTTTATCAATTGGAGACCACCAAGTCAATTCCAAATACCGTAGGCAAAACGCTACTTCCTACTTAAATAAACACACAACTCATCACACACCAATTTACTAAAGTACTCAAACAGCTTCTCATGCTTCTTGGCTTGAATTTGAGGCATCAAGCTTCAGGCAAGTTCATATCTACTTTACTATTAATTACTCTTTTATTTATGCATTATTATGTTACAATAATATGAGCTAGAGATAGCGTCTTCATATATAGAATTCTACCCAGATCACATGGAGAGGACAGCACAGTGGATTTTATGGGTTGCCTTGATCCAACTTCTCCTGAATCTTAGCGACGCAATGCTCAGTGGAAGGAAACTCAGCGCCACTACTAGCAACACTCATTCGGGTAAGTTTATGTAGCACACAGTTCAAACCTTAATACTACTAATGACTTATTGCCTTTATCAAAACCTATGTTTCCCTAGTTAATTAACAACGTTCCCTTCAACACAAAACTAACCTATGATATTATACACAGATTTCATAAGCATTGATTGTGGAGCAAGCGAGGAATACACTGACCATCAAACTGGGATTTCATATCAGACAGACACAGGTTTTGTAGACACGGGGGATAATTTTATGGTGGCACCTGAAAAAAGATATGACATCTATTATCCTTATTTTGGGAGACAACTGCAGACACTAAGAAGGTTCCCTGAAGGAAGAAGGAATTGCTACACCCTGAAACCAAAACAAGGCAAAAACCAAAGTTACCTCATCCGAGCTTTCTTCTCATATGAAAACTATGATGGCAGAAATCAAACTCCCAGTTTCGAATTGTACCTGGGTGTCAATTATTGGAAAAATATTTATCCAATCAAAAATTATCATTTTGCTGAGATCATCCATACTCCTATGGCTGACACCATCCACGTTTGCCTTGTCAAGTCAGGCAAAGGAATACCTTTCATTTCTACATTAGAACTACGACCTCTCAACAATTCTATCTATACAACTCCCTCCCCTTCTCAATCACTTTTAGAACTTCAAACAAGAATTGATGTTGGCTACGTCAGTAATACTACATCACTACACATCAGGTGACTCTAATCTTTAGGGTTTGCTTGATTCTATTATCTTTTTTTATTATCTTAAAACAATGCTGCAGGGAAGCTTATTTTTTGAGAACAAGTTTTGAAGAGAAAAAAATTGAAAAAAAATGTTTGAATCATTTCTTTAAAGAACATATATAAAGTAGAGAAATAATTGTATAAAAAATAATAATAAAGTAGTGAAATGAAAGTGAAAGAATGATTTTTAATATTTACACAATTGTCCTTAATAAAAACATGAATTTTTTCCCAGCATTTTCTAATTTTGTGGAACATAAGGTAAGGAAACATCACAATGACGTTATGTTTTTTTTTTTTTTTGGTTCAAAGGACAACTTTTAATTTTGTTTTGTTTTCCCGAAGGCGTAACCAAAATCAAAACGTGTTTTCAAAAAAAATTTTATTTTTTATTTTTTATTTTCAGATCAAAAAAATTATTCTGGAAAAACAACAAATCAACAAACACATATATTCTATAACATGTTGTGTTTCCACATTTTCATTGTCTAGCTCTGATGAATTTTTTACATGGGAGCAATTCTGATGTTCAATATAGGTATATGGATGACATCTACGATCGTACGTGGCGCATGGGCAACACTTTGAACTTGACAGATTGGCATGTGTTCAATAAATCTGTGGATATTGATCCCCAAAGCACAAATGATTCTTACAGATTACCAGCACGAGTGCTATTATCTGCAGCTAAATCATCGAATCGCTCCTCTGCTTTAAACTTTGACTGTGTTTCGGCTTGGGGCGGTCCATTTGAATATTCCTTCACATATTTTGTCTATTTTCATTTTGCTGAAATTGAGCAGCTTCCCCATGGGCAGAAAAGAGTAATCGATATTACTGTAAACGATGAAAAATTCCTCCCAAAGCCCATAACTCTTGAATACTTGAAGCCTCAGACCGTTTTTACAGTTACAAATCAAAGCTGTCTCCGTTTCAGCATAAGTGCAACATCAGAATCTGCTGCGCCTCCAATCCTCAATGCATTCGAGGTTTATCGATTAATATCACCTCTAACTTTACCAACAGACCAAAGAGACGGTATATGCTGATCAGTTTTCCTTCTTTGAATTGTTTCCCGCTATATCTTTTATCATTTCAGTCTGTGCACGTTTTGGCTTCAACTTCTGAGAACATATTTGTTATTTGTAACAGTGGATGCTATCTGGGACATCAAAATCACATACAAAATCTTTAAATTGGATTGGCAAGGTGACCCCTGTATCTCCAATTTTGCATGGAAGGGACTTATGTGCAGTTCTCTCACCGATCACTCTTACGCAAGGATCACCTCATTGTGAGTATTTCACTTCTTGAATTAAAGTCATAAGGCTTGATCTATGATCATTATCACAAATATATTGATTATCCCTAAATGTAGCATGAACTGTGTGAGATCATAATTCCACTTCTTGCTCCGAAAGAGAGCGTTATATTTCCTCATTTAATGTTACTCAACTGTATATCCATTTGTCAACTGTCAAAGAAGATAACTGGATTCGTTTGGATTAGTGATAGAAAAAGTAACTTATTTTTAATCTAACTTTTAGAAAAATGAGATTAGGTAAAAGTTAGATTGGAATATATGATTTGTGTTTGGATTGACTTTATAAAAGTTAGTTTGTAAAGTAAAAAAGTTGTTTGGATTATGATTGAATAAGTAAGTTTAGTTTGTAGAATGAACAGAATGGGTATGACTTTATTAAATAATGAACAATGATTAAAAATATGAATTTACAATATATAATAATTTTAATAGGAAAAATTTATATTTAATGAATAAAATATATTTAAATTAGAAATCATATAATGTGAAAATTTTTTAACCAAATAATATTACATAATTAATTGAATGATATACTCTACATAATTTATGTAAATATAAAATAAAAAAATATTAAAAATATTATAAAAAATGTTAAAAGTTATTTTCATTTAACAGAATATTAAAAATAAATAACTAAAGATTTATTGAGAAGCACAGAGAATATATAGAGAGAAGCATAAGAACAATATAAACATAAGGGTAAAAATGCCTTTTAATTTCAAATAGTTACTTTTGCATACGTCATAAATAAGTTTTAGGTGTTTTTGCAATTATACTTAAAAAAGTAACTTTTGACCTATAAGTTAAATTGACCAAAAGCTGTGACAAATAGCTCCCAAATTTACAAATTGACTTATCATCCCCATAAGCTACTTTTTCATCCCCTGAACGCTTCAACAAACAGGCTGAATAACAAGACATAATGTTACATGTTAGTAAAAACCTAAGTCTACCAACAAATTATTGGTTGAAGTGGTAAGCGGCCTTACTTCCATATGGACGAGAACACAAGTTCAAATTATGGAAAGCTCATTTGTTGAGAGAGGTGAAAACCCTTTGTGCTTTAAGCCTCGAAAGGAAAAACCCTTCATCAAATAAAAAAAAGAAGCCTAACTCTTATCTTGTTCTTAATTTTGGTTACTAGCATTCATGTATTGTGTTTTGTGACCTATCGTTCCTATACAGATAGATTCTCTTAATCAAGGGGAACTCGCATTGTTCATGTCTCAACATAATAATCAATGTTCTCCCATATTTCCAACAATATTTACTGCTACTTATAAGACCTCGTTTGTAGTCTACAAACGAGGTCATTTAATTAAGACTAGAGGTAGTATTAAAGAAGCTTTATATTCTTGAGAAAATTTTATATTCACCTATCTTTGTATATTTTGACCACAAATTCTGATTACTCTCAGCAGAAACTTGAGCATGAGCCAGTTAACAGGACACATAGTTATTTCATTCTCACAGCTTTTGGAGTTAGAGTCCCTGTAAGTATATAGTGACTTAATTATGACAAAATCTTCAGTCTAAGAATTTCATCATGTAAAATGTTGTTTTTGTTTTAGGGATTTGTCAGACAACAGCTTGTCAGGAACAATACCAGAATTTCTAGCTGAATTGCCAAAGTTGAGAGTCCTGTAAGCTTTTGTAGGATTTGCCGCTACCAATTGTCTATCATACCACGGTATATATACATATATATAACTTGTGGATTGCCTAATAAGCTAAGTGAATATATATTTCAACCTTGCAGTAATTTGAGAGGCAACAAGCTTAGCGGTTCAATTCCCAATACTCTTAAGGAGAAGTCAGATTTGGAAATGAGGTTTCTCATTTTAAACTATCATAGTTACTCAGCTTTTGAGAGCTTTTTTTTTTTAAAAAAAAAAAGATTGAACGAAAATAAGTTGATCAATATTAATATGATAACTGTGTTTGAATGGTGGTCAATGATGAAAAGAAAAAAAAAATATTTGGGAAGCTGGGGCATTTCAAGGGGCATCAGGGAATGGGGCACCTGAGGCCCCTTGCCCCTCTATTTCTTGACGTTTGATACTCAAATGTAAAAATCGTATAGTTCAATTTTACGTCTTCCCAAACAGTGCTGACTATTACGCTATAACCAACGGAAACTTCACATCACTTGCCTTTAATTGATGTCAAAGTACTCAAAGCATGATTCACTCAAGCAGCAACCTAAGTGCAATCAAGTTGACGGGGGAAATAACTATGTCATTTTCATAACTTACAGAGTCAGAGTCCCCTGTAAGTGTGTGTATAGATTGATATAATAATGACAAATTCTTTTAGCAAAAAGGTTTCATTAACCTGCAAAATACTGCTTTGTTTCAGAGATTTATCATTCAATAACTTACCAGGTTTGCTACCGGAATATCTAGCTAAACTGCCGAAGTTGAGAGTTCTATAAACTACATTGTTTAGGATTCAGCCCCAAGTAAATAATAGTATATACCATTATAACTTCAGGCTAACTTACTAATAAGTGAAATTTCACAATAATGTTTTGTAGTAATTTAAGTGGCAACAAACTCTTGGGTTCCATTCCCAAGTCTTTTGAAGAAAAGTCATATATGCAACTTTGCAATTGAGTTTTGCTTCATTATATATTTCTGCTGGTACAAATGTGATGACCACCCTTCTCGGAATCAAAATTTACAATAATATATCTTGCTCCTTAGTTTGGCAGATAATCCTAATCTTTGTCTGAGGGATTCATGCAACAAGCATAAGTTTGTTATTCCACTTGCGGCTTCTGTTTCTGCTTTGGCTGTAATTTTCCTGGTTTCTTTAGGAGTCTGGACCTTCAAAACCAAGAAACTAAAAGGTACATATAAAATTATTCTCATTATTGGGCATCACTTAAGAGTCCTAACGAACACATCTTAAGAATTTTATGCAATTGTATATTTTGTCATTGATTAGAATGTCACTCTCGTTCTATTCTTCTCTTCTTTGCTTTCTATTAAAAGCACTTATCGTGACGCCCCGGAAATTCAAGTGGCCAGCTCAGAGATACTCACATGCCTTAAACCCAAGATATATAAATTCTCCACAAACACGTATACTTATATGCATATACCATATTGAACCTAAAGCGTCTGGATATTTTTTTATTTTTACAAATGTTACAAGCCTAGCTTCCCATAGAAATTTCGGAAAAGCTTTCCCTATAAATGGGACCTCTCATCCCCGGGGGGGGGGGGGGGGACAATATTGGCAACAGTTTAGTCTGAAAAAAGCTTCACTCCACACCAATGAATATACAAAAAATACATCAGGTAAGGATTCTAACCTAAGCGGAGCACATAAATGACATAAACAAATTCAGAAGTTAAGATTACATTAAATAAGAACCTTTTAGAATGATGCGTCAACTTCAAGCCAGCAGTAGAGGCCCTCAATGATCAGTTGGAGGAGCAGGTCAACTACAAAATCTAGTTCCAAAAATATTTTGTTAGCGAATTAGTGAAATACCTTCTCCAAAAGGTTCTTAGCCTTCAGATTTCAGTTGGGCCTGCAGATAGTCTACCTCCACTAAAATAAACAGCAACTGCAATGGAGGAATCAAGCTTAACCCCTTACCAAACCCATTTAACGCACATAGCAAAAGAAAGATGAAGGAGATAGAAGTTTGACAAACAGTACCCACACAGACACGGAAAAGGAAGGAAAAAATTCGAACTACTACACTCTCTTAGTTATTGAGACCAATGTTTTAGACGGAAACAAACTTGAGGGACTAGATACTATAGTTTAAAACTTGACAGACTAAAACCTAAATGAAAGTAACCTTGAGAAACAACAAACTATATCAACCCATTTGTTTTATTTTAGTTTAGAGAGAAAAGAATAATATATGATAATTTTATAATGATAAATCAAAATAAAATACACTTTTACTAATAAAGAGAATTCAAATTTCAAACTGAAGAACCAACAACAAGCAACAACCATACTACGCCACCAATGCAATATATATAAAATTTTACGAAAAATAATTAAAACATTAGTTAAAAATAAAAATAAAATAATTAATTTATATTAATTTTAGGGACATTACACAAACCATTATTAATATCAAAACTAATGTAACTAATAGTCAGTGAGTACCCATAAATGAGATCGGTTTGTTTTGTATCCTACTCTTTTGATTTCTTACTTCGTGCTTGGTGATGAGTAGGGCCAAAAAGATTGAAACAGAAGAAGCTACTACATGAACTTGGAGATATTGCGATCCCATTCAGTGTAAGCGGCAAACAGAAGTTTGGTAAAAGCGATAAAACAGGCCATGAAATACATATATTCGATTTCAAAAGCATTGTTTTAGCATCAGATAACTTCTCATCCACAAATAAGTTAGGTGAAGGTGGCTTTGGACCTGTGTATAAGGTGATAGCTAAACATTTTTCATTGTAATGTTACCTTGGTAATGCCTAATAACGATGAAACTGAAAGGGAAAAAAAAATGAGGATGATTAATTGACAATAGTGTTTTTATTTTCAGGGAAGATTTCCGGATGGTCGAGAGATAGCGATCAAAAGACTTTCTAAATGTTCAAAACAGGGCCTAACTGAATTCAAGAATGAAGTTAAATTGATCGCCAAACTGCAGCATACTAACTTGGTAAGACTTTATGGCTTTTGTATCGAAGGGGAAGAAAAGATGTTGATATATGAATATTTGCCCCATAAGAGTTTGGACGTCTACCTTTTTGGTAAGCGAATTTTTACCTTTACATTATAATAATGCTTTACTATCAAAATGGATATGTCACAACATGCTCCTCATAATTTCATTGATATAGATCATAATAATAGGATTTTATTGGATTGGAAAAGACGGCTCAATATTATTCAAGGCATAGCACAAGGGCTCGTCTATTTACACAAATATTCAAGATTCAAAGTGATTCATCGAGATTTGAAACCAAGTAATATTTTACTTGATCATGAGATGTCTCCAAAGATATCTGATTTTGGCATGGCAAGAATATTTGAGTTGGAAGAATTTGAACAAGAAAATACAAATCAAGTGGTTGGAACATAGTAAGTAAAATTCTTTTACCAATTCAATTTTTTGATATCACTTAATTGATTGATGAAATGCTAATTACTTTTCTTTCTTTACATCATTATTATCTTAGTGGGTACATGGCTCCGGAGTACGCTCTTAGCGGAATTGTCTCAGTAAAAACTGATATTTTCAGCTTTGGAGTATTGCTACTAGAGATTGTCAGTGGCAAGAAAAATGTCAGTTTTGTTAAATCTGAACATTCAATCAACCTCATAGGACATGTAAGTATACATAACATTCTTCCATCCAATATGCATCTCTACATGCAAGTTCAATGTTTGTTGATTAATATACACCGAATCTGAACTTGTTTTAGGCATGGAAGTTGTGGAATAAGGAAAAAGCCTTAGAGCTAGCAGATCCCTTACTAAGCGGAACATGGAATGTTGATGAATTATTGAGATGCATTCATATTGGTCTCTTATGTGTGCAACATCAAGCTAAAGATCGGCCTGATATGGTAGATGTGGTTTCATATCTGTCTAATGAAACCATTTTATTAGCTGAACCTAAGCAACCGGCCTTTTTCATTAATGCAAGAGAAAACAATGCCACATCATCTACTAATATCGCAGAAAATTGTTCTACGTGTAATGTAACAATTTCAGATTTCAACGGCAGATAATATATGTAAATCTGCCCAACTGTATGTTAACTGTTAGACATGTTAGTTTGCAAAATACATTGTCAATTTCCTAATCTAATTTTCATGTCTGATTATGTCCTCATAATAAGTTATACATTATATCAATGTTAAACGAAGTGGGTAGTGTAAATTTGTTATTTGTCGTGATAATTAATTAAATTAACCTCTTAATATATAAGTTTTGAAAAAGAATTGGTTGGCAAAAAAAAAAAAAGGGGGCAGTAGCGCTCCAAGTAACAAACATCTTTTATTTCGTTGCCAATCGTTCTTAAACACTACGGATATGATCACGTCAAACTAAAAGGCCTAACCATATTACGCACAAAAAGATTTTCCATTTAAGCAATGAAAGTACTTTCAAGCTTATATTATATATAAACCTTAACTTCTAGCTTGTAAGAAAATATAATATCAAATGAACTCTGTAAACCACATGAGATTTTGTATACTCAATAGTCAACCATAATACTAAACTCGGTAGCCATACAAGATAATTTATACTTTGAATTAGAAAAAGCAATAAATTCATAAATATATTCCATGTGTTATTTAAAACCGTGTAATGAAAATGAGTTTTGAAATTCCAAGGGTTTGGCTCAATCAACGATTGGTATAGTATACCTGAATTAGACTATTCCCATATACCAATGCAAAATTCGTGTATAATTAACATAAATTAGTAAAAGGAAATATATATATATATATATATATCACAATGAATAAAAAAATTTATGGTTCTCATACAT